AGCCTGTGGTTGGCCGTGGTGCCCCTCTGGCCCGCACCCCAGGCCCCGCAGTGGGGTGCCCTCCACGGGAAGGGCAGGTGGGCGTAGTCGGTGGGTGGGGAGGAGAACAGCAGAGGTTCAGATGTGTCAGAGCCGGGCAGGGACAGGGAGGCCGTGTCCCGGACGAAGACACACTGTTCCCCATGCGTTCCGCACATTTTCTTCTAATCTTAAAAAAAAAAGGGAAATGTTGGGTTTCAATGTTTCATTCTTTTAATCGCATTTCTTCCACTAGGAATGCTCAGCATCTGTCTGTGTTGACCAGTTCCCTTTCTGTGAAGGGCTAGCTCACGTCCTGAGACCATCTTTCTTTTCTTTCTTTCTTTAATGTTTTAATTGGTTTCAGAGAGGAAGGGGAGGGAGAGAGAGAGAAACATTGACGATGAGAGAGAAACGTTGATCGGCTTCCTCCCATGCACACCCTGACCGGGAATCGAACTCATGACCTTCCGGTGCACACGACACCCCAAACCACCTTGCCAGGCGGCCGGGCAACAGCTCTTAGTGTTAAATACACACTTGGCAACAGGTAACCGTTATCGGGCCCGGCATCACTAAGCCTCTGGCATCCACGCAATGCCTCAGTCACCAGGAAGCACAGTGGGTAGGACCCGCGGTGTGGGTTTATTTCTTTATGAACCGGCAGCCGTGAGCGGTTTATAACTTCCCTCTCCCTGACCTCAGTGGGCAAGCCCCGCCGCAGCCCAGAGGCCATTGCAAGCCTCTGCCCCTGTTGTGAGCAGGGGTGAGGGTGGTGCCTCTTCCCTGATCTGGGGGCAGCTGCTGCCCCCTGCAGGCCGGTCAGGAAAGCAGACACCTGAGCAAAGGCAGATTCCCTGAAAGCCGCCAGCAGGATGCCTTCTGGTCTTTCACTCCCGGAGGCGGTTCCTAAAAGGATTTCAGTTCCTCCCTTTTTCTCCGCTGCAATGCAGAGCATGAACTCTTTCTCTTCCCTTTTAAGCTGTGCTAAGACCCCCCCAGCACGCTGCAGAGGCTAGAGGCACTCAAGTCTCCCCCTCCCTCCAAGTTCCCGAAGTGCCAAGATCTGGGACCAAGGCCCAGGCCCACCTGGCAGGTCACAGCAGCATCCAGGTGAGTGTCAACCCTCCTCCTCCTCCCGCAGCAAGAAAAGTGGAAGGAGTCCCGCCTCCCTCTCCGCCGCCCCAGACAACGACCTCAGACGGTCTCCCCGGGCCTGAGGCTCAGAAACGAGGCCCCGACAGACAGGACGTGAGCAAACCCCTTCCTGGGGGCTCGCCAGCGAGGTTGCCTGGCTCCATGTGGAGAAAACATTTGCGGGAAGGTCCCGCCCAGCAGCCGGCCTGTGAGCAGAGGGCCCCTCCTCAACCCCCCCCCCCCCCCCACCACCAGGAATCTCCCGGAGTTTCCTGCAGGCCCGTCAGCCTGGGACAGACGAGGGGGCTGGACCGCTTCCCGCAGCTTTCATCCCGGGCGGCGGCTGGCTGGGCTCAGGGACAGCCGATTCCAAGCGGTTCCTATTGAGCTGGACGTTCGCGGGGATTGCCAGGCCCTGATGGGAGCGCGGAGGGCCCGGACCTGCGGCCTGGGCTGGTGGGCCCACTGAGTCACCCCGCAGCTCATTTCCTTTGCTTTTAAGGTGCAGGCCGACAGGCTCACGCAAACCCGCAAACCCGCCGTGAATCACATTCCAATCGCATTTAACCCCGAACAACCCCCCCTGCAGCCCTCCCCATCCCTGTGCTGGGCCACCCCGTCCTGCCCTTGTCACTGCATCCCACCCGCCTGGCCGCCACCTGGCCCAGTCGCAGACCGTCTGGGCCGATGGTGCTGAAGGGAGAATGTCCGCGGGGAAGGAGGAAGGAGGACGGAGGAAGGAGGAGGACGGCTTCCAGCGCTGGGTCTGAGCGAGCATTTGCTGACTCACGCGGGCGCTCGGGTCCAGGAAGCGCGTTGGCAGCAGACGCTGTTGAACAAGCCCAGCGTCCGTTTTTCCAGGATCCCGTTAGCAGCTGGCAGAGGGCAGGCAGCCAAGCAGCGGTTCCCGGACGTGCGGGCAGGAGGGGCCACAGCAGGAGCCGTGCCTTCCGTCTCACGTCTCACAGGGTCCAGTGTTGGGGGTCCGAGCTCGGGCGTGTCCGCTGCAGCGCGTCTCCTGCCGCGGGCACCACGGAGGCCTGCCCCGCGCCGGGCCGAGCACACGCAGGTGGAGGCAGTCGGCTCCGGGCCAGAGCTGGATGGTGGAAGGTACAACGGTCAAGCCTACTTAGGATTTCAACATTCCTGAGGTCTGATTTCACTAAGCGAGTCCAGCAAACGGGGACCGATTCCTGAGAGGGGGGGATGGCTATGTGGTCCATATGCAGGATGACACTTCCTGTAACTTCATGGATCTATGGGGGTCACTCCCCAGCGTTACAGAAGAAGCAGCCGCCACAGCCACCGTGTAGCAGGACCCGAAACGCCCCTCAGCAGCCTTGTCCCAGGAAAGACCAGCTCCAGCCGGATGTCACGGATTCCCCCCAGTCCCCCCCACTTTCGCCTCAGTGAGAACTGTCCGCAGAATCACCTGGTTCAGGCACCAAAGAATCAGCACGCAGCACGTGCTGGCGAGGACGGGAGGAAAGGGAGCCGGGGCGGTGATTGTGGGATTGGAAACTGGTGCAGCTGTGAGGGAAACCAGTACTGATGTTCCTCAAAACAGTAAAAATAGAAGGGCCATCGGGCCCAGCAATTCCACTCCCGGGTGTTTATCTGAAGAAAATAAAAACACTCGTTCAAAGAAGAGATACACGCATACCTGTGTTCATTGCAGCGTTATCTACAATCGTCAAGACGTGGAAGCAGGCCAGGTGCCCGGCAGCAGACACGTGGATAGAACAGATGTGGACACACACACGGGCATAGTCCTCAGCAATAAAAAAAGAGTGAAATCTTGCCATTTGTAACAACACGAATGGACCGAGAGGGCGTGAAGCTGGGTGAGATAAGGACAACACCACACATCTCACTTACGTGTGGAATCTAAAGAACAACGCAAATAGATAAACAAACGGAAATGAGTCTGTGGACAAAAGGGGCCACACGCTGACCTGACAAGCTCAGGGAAGGCCTTCGTGGCAGCCTAGCAGACTCAGAGACCTAAAATAACCACAAAGGATGGTCTGAAATTAAACTTTAACTAAAAGCAGTTATGGTGGGCAGTTATGTCCTAGGCCAGTATCTTCACTGACAAGGTCAACTTTGATCCTTACTGAGCCCATTTGCCTTTTTGCCTCTAAGATAACATACCCTTGAAATGTCTAGGTAACTTGTAACTTCCCTTTTTCTGGAGCCCCTGGGGCCCAACCAAATGTTCTGGGCGCCAGGACAGATACTACAAATTCCTTCATTATCATGTTAATTGATCCTGCACCCACCTAAGTATGTGTCCATGATTTTACTTTTTATCCTATCACAGAGGTTTCCCCGCTTCGCTTAATCCCACCTCCTTAAATCTGTCACCAGTGAATTTCATGTATAAATACGGATGTAACCCTGCCATTCTCCGGAGCACTATCTCAATTCGTTGAGGTTCTGCTTCCCGGCATATGTCGACAGTTTGGCTCAAATAAACTCACAAAATTCTTTACAGGTTTCAATGGGTTTTTACGTTAACAAGTCCATGGACAGAGAAAAGACTGATGGTTACCCAAGGGGAGGCAGGTGGGCTGATGGCGAATCTGTTTTTTAAGGAAGAGATACACTATTCAGTGGCATTCCTTCCCAAGTTAACTTTCATTTATTCTCTACATTGTAGGACTTGGTGTCAGGTTGGCAGAGGGATAAACTCTTCCCGGGCACGTTGGCCCCATCCGGCCACGGACGGACGTAGACGGCAGCCGACACAACTCCAATTCTTAGAAAATGTCACAGACCCAGGGGTGGGTGGGCCCGGGTGGGCCCGGAACTGAAATTACTGGTTAGGAAGAGCTGTTGAAAAATGTTAAAGAAAAACAAATTTAAAAAGGTACGGCAAGATCTTTTCCTAAGGAACAAATTTCCTGCACTGACATCCATTCGATTTAAAGTGTTTTTCAATAAAATATTAAAAATGTAAATAGAAATTCCGTGTGGCACCCCGGAAGAGGCGGCCAGGCAGGGGCCAGCGTGAACCTGCAGCGTAAGCTCAGAGCTGTGACGTTGTTTCTAGGCCTCAGAGGAACTTGAGGGAAGACACCGCCTGTTTGCAAAGAACCCTGTTTCTGGGACGGGTTTTTGCTGTAGCAACAGCCGGGAGTTCCGGTCTTCCTGGCTCACGGGCGACTGTTTAAAAACTCAGCCTCAGGTCCCCTCCTGAGACCTCCCCCCCCCCCCCCGTGGGGATCACACGTGGGGCTCCTCGCACCAGAGCCTGTGCCATCCGCCCAGCGAGAGGAGGTGCCCACGTGAGGAGCCACAACCAAGTCCTCCCACCGACATCTAGATCCCAGCGGGGTGAG